CACTGGCGAGAGTCGCCAGCTCCGTCTGCTGGGACTGGAGCCGCACCAGCGCCGACTCGATGACAAAGTCCCGCCGGGCCGAGCCAGCATTGTACGCTGTGACGAGGAAGCCAGACGCGCCGAATCCCGTCTCCTGCTCCAGCTCGTGGATCGACTTGTCGATATGTGCCCTGTAGCGCTCAATGTGTCTTCGGTGGTTAACAAACACGAGCACGGGCAGGAACATGGGATGGCAGCACAGATGAGGAGCGTTGCACAGCTGCCCGAGGAGTTCGCTCCATTGCGGAGGCATCAAACCATGGATCATGGCTCTGATGGACATGGTTTTGAGGTCAAAGACGAGAGATAGCGCGTCGTAGCCGATTGTGATCTTGTTGGCCACTTTGATTATAATCTCTGCGATTATGTCAGCCAGATATCAGAAACACCTTCTGGCTCTATGACGTTACTACTGATGCGCTCAATGGTCCGAGAGCTATCGGCGGCCCTGTAGGTGTAGAAACCGAAAGCACCGGTCAAGTCGACCACGGCTTCGATTGTTGAACCGTGGAGCTCAAAGGCTGATTGCAGGCTATCCCAGTTCTCTCGGGTCATGTTCACCCTGTCCCAACTTTTTCCTAGCGGTATATGGCTGTGATAATCAATACTGGAAATTCCAGGCGCGGGAGCCTTACATACATGAGACGCAGTGAGAACCGGTGTTTCTTCACGGCTTCTGATATTTCTGGGAATTTGTATGATCCCTGTTCTTGTAAGAATCTACTTGACGGCATATAGCCACGACACTCACTCCGAGATTGAGCCAGTCATTGAAATCTGACCACTTGACCGGGCCATGTCGAGTTCTGCATTTGCCCTGGAGATACGGTCAGTATAGCTTTATGCGGGGAACATGTCGAGCGGCTACCTGGTCATCTGTCACGGCCTCAAAGAAGGCCGGTTCATCTAGCGGAACCGACGTGAAGTCGGCATCCTTCGGTTCCCTCATCTAAAGTTGTCGCAGACGCTTCTTCTCATGTGGTTTCATCAAGCGATTCATGTGGGAGCATTCTTTGCGCATTGAGGCCCTTCATGGACATTGTAGTTGGGCGACAGATGACTGACAGGGATTCTTGTGCGGCTGAAGTCTTCGCGATTCCTGATGCCAAGAAGGAAGCGATACCGTGCGAGCTCATTGTAGACATGCGACTATGAAAGATAGTTGCAAGAACACTTCTTTCAGACGGAATGCAGTGTTCTCTTTCAATTTGATGTTAATTACATTTCCAAGTGCTTGAGGAGACCGAGATAGTGTATGCCCATAGATTGAATGAGGATCAACTAATAGGATAGTAAAGTGTAAATACCATCTTTCTGCACGACTATCACACTGTGCAGATTCATATGATCTACTCTGTACTCGGAACCGGCTTCGGGCATTTCGAAGGCTCTGCTTTGGCCAGGATCCTTTCATGCTTAAATACGATCGAATGCAACGTACCAAATGATTGACATCATGCCTGACTATATCGCGTTTCAACCATGTATAGTTCTCCAGCAAATTGCTACAATGAGTCTGAAATGGTTCTAGCTCAGCAGCTCCAATGCTACGGCGATAACAAGTGACGTTATAACCTTCTTAACTGGTGAGATGATGACCCAATTGCGATAGCGATCCCATATTCATTTTGGAAATATTCATGTTGGGTCTTTCACTGCAGAAGGTAGGAATTGGAATGGATGTCCAATTTCCATACGCCGTGGTCCAGACTCCAGTGGTTATTGGATGACTGGCTCTCGGCCGTGGGAGGGTTTCCCGATTTCACGTGGTCACATCAGTGCGACGATGGATCGCATGAATTTTATCAGATCGCAAAGCCTAATCCTACCCCTTTGAGTCTCTGATAAACATTCATCCGCGCAGGCAAGGATAGGTACAACAGCAGAGACGAGCACGGCAACGTCGGTACGGCGCGAGCATCCGCTGTTCGGAGCGCGAAAACGGTTTTTGGATAATGTCATTAGCGCGCGGGAATCCCTACGCCAGCCAAGGCGAAGCCAAGTCCAGCCAAGCTCGTGATGATGTTATCAGATGGCCCTTGGGCTATCGATAACCGTTGCGGTTCTCGGCTTGAAAGGCCTGATCAGGTAAAGATTGATACAAGTGCCGAAATGCAAGGGACGCAAGAGCCAAGAAGGCAATCCACAGTCTACACTACAGTCCTCAGTCAGCAGTGTAATTATTTGCGATCCATAATCGGCAGAATATTCACTTCTTTCAGTCATTCCTAGTCAGCATTTAGTCATAATTCCGTGCGGAATAAACTCACAGCTAAGCACTGCCTACGTATCATCCCGCGCGCGTCCTTTTTGCCATGATTCGGGTCTCGGCGAGGCTTTTTTTTTTTTTTTTAAAGTGTATCCGACGACCATTCCCCTGGGTAAAGTAGCCCCATTCTTTTTCCTGCATGGAGAACCCGGCCGAGAGCAGTGAATTCATCCCATGAGCATGAACTCCAAGATGAGCGTCGCTGCCAGTCGAATACAATGCGAAACAAACAAACTGTCCAGAATGATATCATGATGTCATGGTCAGGAGCATCAACTGGTGAAACCTAGACGTTTCTTCCAGAGCGATCCAGGACCGGCGATTGACATCGGACGGCAAGCACATGCTAGCCTTCACCGCGTGTCATGCACCAGCAGCATTCCAGAAAATCTTGCTTGGAGAAGTGGATCGAGTCCCCGGAGGTTTTACCTAAGTATACTCGACATATGAGATGAAAAACGGGCTTCCCGGGGTCCCACCCGACACAGCTACCAGATATTAACATGATTGCCCGATGGGTTTGTCAGGCTTATGTAAATGAGTATTATGGATGTCGAATCGAGCAGAAAGGATCCAGATCTTGGCCACGGACTGGACGGAGCAACAAATGACTCGCTCTTGGCTTGCTGCCGATGGGTATCTGCCATCTTATAAACAAGGCACTGGGCCGCAATATGCCTGGGTAGTTGCCCTTTCCGGTAGACGCTTCAATCACCAGACAAGTCATTCATTATGGGACGCTCAATGCTGAGAGGATTCACAGCTGCCTTGGGCTTGGCCCTCGGTGCTTCGGCTGCTTGCCAGGATTTGTACGATTACATTGTTGTGGGAGGAGGTCCAGCAGGTATCATCTCGGCCCAGAGACTGGCTGAGGCTGACAAGAAGGTCCTTCTCATTGAGCGAGGATCCGGACCGACTGCCGCGACCGGCTCGAACCACACTCTCAGCTGGAACGACACCTTGACCGAGATTGACCTCCCCGGTCTGTCGGCCGACGTTGGCTATCTCGATGTATGGAGCGAGTACATCTGCAAGGACACGCCCAACTATGCGGCTTGCGTCCTCGGCGGTGGTGTCACCGTTAACTACATGGTCTTTGTCCACCCCCCGGCTCATGACTTCGAAAAGTGGCCTCAAGGCTGGAACTGGGAGGATGTCGCTCCTGCCGCCGAGCGACTGTACGAGCGCAACCCCGGAACGACGCTGCCCTCGGCCGACGGCAAGAGATATGACCAGCAGCTGTACTCGATCCTGTCCAACTTCCTCGGCAACCTCGGCTGGAAGTCCGTCGACATGATTGAGCAGCCCGACGAGAAGTTTGAAGTTTATAGTTATCCTGCCTGGAACATTCAGGATGGCAAGCGTGCTGGCCCCGTCCGCACTTACCTGCCCCTGGCACAGGAGCTCGATAACTTCTCCCTGCAGCTCGGCTCCAAGGTCATCCGACTTGTACGATCCGGATCTCAGGTGACTGGCGTCGAGATCGAGACCGCCACCGGCGAGCGCAAGACTGTTGGTCTTGCCGATGGCGGAAGAGTCGTTCTGTCTGCTGGTGCCCTGTCCACTCCTCGCATCCTTTACAACTCTGGTATCGGACCCCGTGCCCAGCTGATGAACGTGACCGCCACCAACATCACCACCCTTCCTCCCCAGGACGAGTGGCTCGAGCTCCCCGTCGGCGAGACCCTGCTGGACCACCCCATCTTCGCCATCGAGGTCCAGACCAACGGAACCTTTGGCATGGCCGACTTTGACGCCATCCTCAACGGTACCGACTCCTCGGTCGAGCAGTACGAGAGCGACAACTCGGGCCTCATCACCGAGGGCAAGCACCGCCTCATCTTCTTCACCTCCAACGTCGGCAATGACGGCGTCACCCGCTACTACCAGGGCTCGTGCGCCCCGACCGGCCAGGGCGTGTTCACCATCACCTCGTACATGACCCACGGTCTGACCTCGTCGGGATCGCTGGGCATTGATCTCCAGGGCAACACCATCGTCACCAAGAGCCCCTACATGCAGACGGCCGGCGACCAGGAGGCCGCGCAGATGTTCATCCAGTCCATGGTCGACGCCATCACCGCCTCCGGCACCGGCCTGACCCTGGCCTCGGCCAAGAACGCCAGCGCCATCTACCAGACCCTGACCGTCGGCGACCACTTTGTCGGTACGGCCAAGATGGGCACCGACGACGGCCGCAAGAACGGTACCTCGGTCGTCGACACCAACGCCAAGGTGTACGGAATGGATAACCTAGTGAGTAGTCTCTTATTTCATCATACGTCCTCTTGATATGCAAGCTAACACTTTCTCTAGTTCATCTCCGACGCCAGTATTCACCCCGACCTGCCCACCGGTAACCTCCAGGCTACCGTCATGGTTGCTGCCGAGGCCGCTGTCGCCAAGATCCTGGCTTACGCGTAAACATCATTTTGATGTTTTCGACCAATTCTCATGTACATATTTGACAAAAGTTAATACCCGATGGTGCCCAAGGCCTCATCAAGCTGATGTTTATTGAATATATGATATTGTTATGTCTACATGATCTTTGAGATTATAAATTGCTGTGAAATGTTGCGCAAAACATGACCAAACGAAAAAAAAGATCACAACATAATTCACAAATCATTCTTCAGGATCATATCTGCAGGAACAAAAAATAACTTTGCGCCACAGGCAAAAGAATAATTGTCCTCGGTGAGGCTCGAACTCACGACCTTCAGATATCCTGAAATATTCAATCAAGTCATATATATATGATATGAGACTGACGCTCTAACCAACTGAGCCACGAAGACTTTGTTGATGCATGGTGTGGTTAACGATGGTGAAGACGATTCAATACTGCGGAGGGCGACGTGTGGGAGAAGCCGGTTGGTGTCCGGGGTTCCACATTGATATCCGCTCTCTATTGCCATCACGATAGCATCAAAAAAACAGTCATGACTTCCTCTCATGATCTTATTTGAAAATCAATGACGGCCGTTAGTCATTCCTTCTTAGTACAAAATACAAGTCGCAGTATGAGTCTTGGTGGAAATTCCAATACCGATAATTTGTCCTAGAAGGTCGGCTTCACGTTATCGCAGTAACAACCAGATGTCATCAATACACCTTGCAATATCATGACGATGTGATCAATCATTTATATGCAGTGTGGTGAACATTGCATGTCTTGATCCTATTTCATTGGTTGCATCGACTCGCCTAAATAGCCTGGCATGTCTTGGCTCAAGAGTATTGACTGCAGAACTTCTTATGCGACAGTGTTATTGACAGGGTTTTGCTATCAGACGTGCATATATCCCCTTGTGGTCGGAGTTGTATATAATACGTCAGGATCCGGCTGAACTTGCAATATCTCAACAGTTTAGCTGCATGGTACAGTTCCGATTGCTTTGCGATCACGCGGAGATCCCAAGATGAAGCCCCATTTACCCTTGACACAAGTGATCCTGAGTGTCGCTGCACTCGCTTCGCCCTACGTTCCGATCAATGAGCTGTTCGGTCGTCAAATAGACTCTTCGAGCATACTCTCCTGCGACGCCACTAGCTGGCCCATCACTTCAGTCGGAGGACCAAACCTGCCTCAGGAGCCCTCAGACACTTTGGCCTCGATCCTATCTCAAGTAGATGCCGAGAGAATAGAAGCGAGCGTGCTCAAACTGGTATCCTTCGGAACAAGACACACCCTTTCGACACAGACCAACGCGACACGTGGGATTGGTGCCGCAAGGGACTGGCTCAAGTCCGAGTTCCAGAGCTATGCCGACGCCAGCGACGGCCGGCTGACCGTGGCCATCAACAGCTATATACAGCAGCCCGACGGCAACCGGATCCCATTTGCCGTCAACATCAGCAATGTCGTCGCCACCCTGCACGGGACCGAGTCTCCAGAAAGACTCTACGTCGTCTCGGGTCACTACGACAGCCGCGTGTCCGATGTCAACAACTATTTATCGGACGCCCCCGGCGCCGACGACGACGCCTCGGGTGTCGCCGTGTCGCTGGAGCTCGCGCGCATATTGTCGCAGCCCGAATTTCCCCGGCCACGCGCCAGCATCGCCTTTGTCGCCGTCGCCGGCGAGGAACAGGGCCTCTACGGCGCGACGCACCTGGCACAGACGTACGCCAACGCGACGCCCCGGGTCAACGTCGAGGGCATGTTCACCAACGACATAATCGGGTCGCCGCATGCCGACGACGGAACTACCGATCCGTACACTATCCGGCTATTCGCGCAGGGCCTGCCGCCGCTGACGGTCGAGAATTCCACGGTCCGGGACTCGCGGCTCTCTGTCGGAGGCGAGAACGACTCGCCGGCGCGCAACCTGGCACGTCTGGTCAAGGAGGTCTCGCAGAACGCGGCCACGGGCATGAACGTCTCGGTGATCTACAGGCTGGACAGGTACCTGCGCTCCGGCGACCACCGGCCCTTTCTCGAGGCGGGATACCCGGCGGCGCGGCTGACGGAGCCCGACGAGGACTTTGCGCACCAGCACCAGGACGTAAGGGTGCAGAACGGCAAGCAGTACGGCGACCTGCCAGATTTTTGCGATTTCGAGTATATTGCAAGAGTTGCGCGGGTGAATGGCGCTGCGCTGTGGAGTTTGGCGGGTTCGCCGGGGATGCCGAGGAATGTTCGGGTCAACTCGACGGTGCTGAGCAATGACAGCGTGTTTTATTGGGACACGCCGGCCGGGGGCCAGGATGGCGTGGGGAGTTATGAGGTTGTCTGGAGGGCTACTGATGCTCCGTTCTGGGATCATGTGCTCGATGTCGGATTGGTCAATACTGCTACGGTAAACTTGAGCAAGGACAATGTCATCTTTGGGATCAGGGCCAAGAGTTCTGATGGGATGAGAGGAGTGGCCGTTTTGCCGTTTCCGGTGTCTTGAGGTATGTCATAGCTGGCATAAATATTTGCTATTTATCCAAGATAGTAAGGTTCTCGTAGCCCTTCCTGACAATCTCCGTGTCAATAATAAACGTCACGATAGCCTTGGCCCGCTCCGTCTTGCTATTGTTTTCCCCGACCGTATGGTGACAGCCAGGCAGCTCCATAAAGTTCTCCCCTGCTTCATACACCCTGGGCGGGTTACCGTTCATGCCGCTCAGGATGCTCCCCTCGGTCACAAGTGCAACGACGGTGGCGCCACTGTGTCGATGGGGAGGAGTAAATCCATTTGGAGGGTAGTCCAGCTCGATGGTCACGATAGATTTTCCAGGTGCGTTCTTGAGCTCGTAGTCGTAGAGGACTGTGACTTTTTCTCGGGGTCGGGTTCTGCAAGGATTCGGGTCAATATGACATTTGATTTTTATTGGTTGGCATGGACTAACGACTGCTCTTGGTCGTGTTGGTGCATTTTGAATCGATGTATGCCGCCTGAATAGTTTGGAAATGGATCAGAATCCGCGAAATAGAATTCGCATGATATGCAATCGAAGAAGGAAGCCTGCCGCAACCTTCCCAAGGTGGTGGATATCCCGGTATAAGTCTATAGTCGGGATCGGCGGGATCCACTCAATTGCCGGGTAGGCTATACGGACTTTGAATATGGCCCGGGCCGCCCGGATTCTTGCAGCTTGTCAATTCATGGGCCGAGAGGCTAAATCCTGATATCCGAATGATTGTAAATTTTGAATCAGGTCACCGGATCTAGGCGTGTCGCTCACTCAAGTTTGGCTGTATGAGATATCCTTATCCGAGTATAAGTCTCCACAATCACACAGCACTCGGTTGTATAAGAGACCCCCAACTCCCTTCGCCCTTTTATTGCCCAGATAATCATCACCTTAATCTTTTTCCTTGTCTTATTGATACATCATACCAGAATGAAGGCAATCCAAATCATTGGAGACAGATCGTCTCCCAAGATCATATGCAACAACGACGTGCCCATGCCCGTTGCTCAGGGCAGCGATATACTTGTACAAGTCTACGCCGCAGGTATCACGGGCGACGAGATCACCTGGCCTGAATTATACCGCACCGCTAGTCGCATACCAGGACACGACGTCTCAGGCACTATTGCGTCTCTGGGTCCGGACTACAACGGCCAGTTGAAGATAGGACAGGAAGTGTTTGCCCTTCTGCATGCCGACCGTGGCCAGGGTCAAGCAGAATTTGTCATATGCCATGCTGACGAGGTCGCGCCCAAGTCGTCGTCTATTTCGCATGCCGAAGCCGCCGCGCTGCCAATTCCGGCCCTCACGGCGTGGGAGGCGATGATGGACCATGTACAGATCACGGCTGAGACCAAAGTCCTCGTCACTGGAGCCTCGGGTGCCGTGGGCTCTATATTCGTGCAGCTCGTGAAGCACCTGACCGGCGCAAAGGTGCTTGCTTTGGCCTCACAGCAGAACCACGGCGAACTGCGACGTCTAGGCGCGGACGAGGTTCTCGACTACCGGGCAACGGGGTGGGAAAAGCTGGCGGCGGGCGTAGACGTGGTGTTTGACACAGTCGGGGGTGATGTCCTCGCCAAGGCGTGGGAAGCTGTCAGTGATCAGGGGACCATCATCACGGTTGCTGATCCGCCGCCGCCGTGGGCTTTTGATCGAGGTTCTGCGGTCGAGTCTGTTGCGCATCCTGGGGCGCGGTATGTCTACTTTATTGTTTCGCCCAATAGTCGGCGGCTGGCCGAGGTGTCCAAGTTGATAGACGACGGGGCATTAGAGGCGTTGAAGGTTAGGACATTCTCGATTGACGAGGCGGACCAGGCGTGGGCGCTCGCCAGAGGGCGGAACAGATGGTACAAGGCAGTGATTGACATGAAGGTCGATGCCTGAAATCATGGATAGCCAGCCGGGTTGCCTCGCCAGCCTCCCACATGTACAGCAGCATACGGGAGCTCCTGGCGCGCCAACCCAAGTACTTGAATCCCAATGATCGAACAATTCTCGACCAACCAGCTCAGGCTGGTTGGTCCGCTGGTCGAGCGGGTTGCAGCGCAACTTTCCAGCTCGGCCAGTGTATGCGTGAAATGATGTGTGAAGGTCCCGTGTTCAATTCCAGTGTCCGCCGCAATTTGATTGACTGTGTGAAATGCCTGTGTTCCATCCACCCAGCCACTCCACTTCCAATTGATTGTGACATGTCGTAAGCGCAGATGTAGGGTGCTGGCATAAGTCAGCACCTGAACTGTTTTGTCTTTTTTTTTATTTTTCCATTTTATTATCTGGCTGTCAACCCAGAACAAACTTGCCTGCCACGCGAACTCGTTCGATCAATGTTTGAGTAAAGTTTTCTCGCAATCACGTGAATTAAACAAGGTAGAGGTAGACAACATTACTGCTCATCGTCAATCATTCATTAATCCACCATGAAAGCTCCCGAGAAAGGTCGGCAGTGCTATACCACTCTTCTATATCACCCGCGATACCCCCATCAGGGAATTCATCGTTTGGGACTATCTCAACATCCTTTCCAGACGTCTTTTCAAGTCCTCTGCCACAGAGATCTGGCTCTTCTAGAGATACCGGAGTGGAATGTTTGGCGCTCTTCGACTCAAGACCAAACACATGGCGGGCAATAAACTGGATCTCCTTGACATTCCTGGCCGTCCGTGGCCATAACTCCCCGAGCGACGTTAGACACCCGATGATGAGGCGGATCTGGTCCCGAGCAATGTCACGCTCTTTGCCCTCGAGAAGAAAATTGCAGGCCGAAAGCAGTGCCAGCGTACCTTCACTGACCATACAAGTAGTGAAGGGGGTGTGATTGAAAGGCCTGACCGGCAGAGCGAGGATGCGGACCTGGGCCTCCACTGATCGCAGTACCCGGATCGTATGTATG